TTAAATTTTCTACGATGGTATTCCACCTGTTAATAACTAAATTTATAACAAAAATTATTTCTAGATATTCCTTAACCATAATGTGCTTATAAAGCTGTTAATAGGGTAATGGCAACTCCCGAGACATAATACTTAAGTAATCTATGCAATCTATGTATTATGTAATATTAATGCATTCGGTAATCTAACACACTTCCTTATTAAAAATAAGAATAACATTTTAATTTGTGAATTTTAATGATTCAATACTATTAGTTTTAATATTTATGTGTTTTTAATACTTTCGGCATCATCCTACAATAACAATAGTAAATATTGATATTCTTCTTCAAATTAAATTTTTTCTGTATCATCAACGTCATACACATTGGTTTTTTAAAATTTTCATAGGTTTGGAGCAATTTTGTGTGAAATATGGGCAACATTGAAAAAATATCAAAGTAGTGCTGCCATGGAATGGCACAGACTTTGTCGTAAGTACAGAAAAACAATTAATACGTTGCTTAATACAATTTGATCGGTTACTAGAATGCAGTAATACCATTCCAATGGTCAAAAATAACATCTTTAAAATATTTAATTTAAATTTATTTTGTCCATTTGTCATGGACATCTTTCCGAGTTCAGCATTTTTTAATTAAATGTAAATTATTATTGTTTACGTAGCTTTTGAAACTAGGGACACTAAATTACCGCAGAGCTCATCAAGTGATCAATTAATATTAATCATGGGATGAATAATTATTTAATGCTACAAAAATAAAATAAATGAAAATACGTGAGTACATATTTTATATTTCCAAATATTATGTGACATCAAATACTAAAAATACACGACTATTAAAAGTATTAAAGGTTATCCGAGAGGAATTTATTATTTAGAGAAAATTACTGGTAACTCTTGAAACCGAAAAAATTAATATCCAAAAATACGTCGTAAGCATTACGTCGAAAGCATTTTAATACACATAAATAATAACATAATTAATCACAACGCTGACGGATACCCCTTTTCATTTTGATGATATGCGAATATTGCATTCGTTAATTTAAAAATAGACATTTTTAATATCACTTATCAGACAGTAATTATGGAAATATTCGTAAACAAATTGCCCTTGATGCACTCCAGTATCCAACGGTAACTCAGGCCGCTGTCCCTGCACTCTGAGAGCTGTGTCACTGCTACGCAGAGCTCAGCTACAAAAGGCTCAGACAGAGGGAACTCGTCTCATTTTTCTGCTCAGGATTTTAGAAGAAAGACCATACTAAGATCCGTTGTTAATAATAATTGGGTTACCACCTTTCATACGAGTACTTGGCAACAAACTTTTATCATAAATGTTGTCAAATTATCGATATTAGACTCACAAAAATTCGTATCAACAGTCCTCTAATTTTAAATAAATATCCTTTCCACGTATTTAAAATCAAATTCGGGGACGTAGAACTCGTCTAGAGGACCCCTTAGTGTACTTAATATTCAGTATGTAAATTTAGAATTCGTTTGTAAATAAAAAAAATTATGTATGTGTTTACTTTTGGACTTTTTATAATGATTTCAGAAAGGAAATGATTTCAACGGCCTTTTGAGGAGTGTGTACCAGTTCCGTCCTGGGATTTATTTTCCTTACTCTAGTACACTTTTTCAGCCCCAACGCTAGCGAGGAAACTGCCCGAACTCTATACCCACCCTTATAAATCCCGTATCTAATTCTGCGTTCGTTAAAAAATTATATTTTGTAACTTCGATCTCGTTTCCCTTAGATGACTGGACTGCTGATTTACAAATGCTATGAAGGGCAGAGGAAACAAGAACGTTTTACAGTGAATGGCCATACATTTCGATTTCATAAAATGCTGAATGATGCCATTAAAGGGATGGACCTGAGTTCCTGCAAAATATTTTCAAACAGTCGCCTAACACCTCCACAACTGGAACTGCATCACCACATAGGGCCCGGAGATAGAAGAATCAACAATTCATTAAAACAAAAAAGCTCAGAATTATATCACTGTGCCTCATTAAAGCTTCTTCACGCTGTACTAAGAGATGTAAATGTCACATAGACAGTACTGACGTAGCGTGTATAAAATGGAGCATCAATTCACCTCTTTCGCCGAAAATGAAAATGTAGAGCAGCCCTTAACATTCTGAAACAGACTCTCGTTAACGGTTGCATATGGAAGCGATTCCGGTTCCCGGAATAGCCAAAGAGCGAAAGGGGACAGCACCAGTACCCCGAATAATGTGCAAAATAATTGAAGAAAATTAAAGAAAACTTTTTTTAAATTCTACATGTACTTAGAAATATATTAATATCATGTTCTGTTCATTTAGATTTGAAAATTTTAGTGTTTATGGTAAGGCATGGGCATATAAATTTTGAACATTTTCTGAACACCGTTTCTTTCCGCTGAGTCAGAGATATGACCACGTCCTTTTTGAAAAAAAACTAGTTCAGCATTCACTACATTATTCCAATTGCACAGCTATTCTCTACATCGATTTATACTAAATTAAGATTTTATCGTTCTTATGGACACATCTGGCTGTAAAAGAACACTGGAGTTTTCACTCAGAACAACGGTTTCCAATTTTTTAAAATATCCGATAAGCTTTAAAAGACGAAAATATTACGAAGAGTTCAGGAAGGTTCTAGTAACAAAAAGGTCACAGGGCCCGACCATAAACTACGTAACGCAAATTTGGAGCATTTTGATTATTCCCTCTCCCCCCCCTGCAACGCCCTCGTAACGCGCGCTTGAACCCCTCCCCCCATTACTTAACGCTTGCGACACCCCTCTCCTCCTCTCACCTTCACCTCAAGTGGCAAGGTAATTAGTTATAAGTTATTTTAGTTAGTATATTTAAGTTGGGCCCGCCCAAGGTGCAAAAGCCCTATCGTCTCCAGCCCATTGTATCCCAAGTAATATATTCCGCGTCTCCAGGACAACTGGTGAGGTAAAAATCGAAATAAATCACCCCCTCTTACCGATTTACAATAGTAAAAATTAATTTTATAAAGGTAAAAAATAAATTAATTAAATTGATTTTATTTCTGTTATGTATTAAATTTAATGATAATAAAAGTCAGAATTACTTGCCGACGCTGACTTCACCTAATAATGTGATTGGGGACGATTTTGAGTGAAAGAGGATAGCACGAGCGAGAGAAGTTCTGACAACAAGCTGTACACCTGCTGTCGTGTTTGCATGGGTAAGAGTCTACTGCGCCAATTTAATTTGATTCTAGAAAGTAGATCAGTTTTGAATTTTTTTTCGTAATGCAATTGAATCAATCAATGCACTGTGAAAAAAGTGATATGATGAAAAAAGTTTATTTTTTGTAATAACATGATATTTAAATTCAATTCAACTTGATAATATTTTAATATTTTAGCTTAAGCCAGAATAAAAGAAATTATTTCAGAAAATGTTAAAAGATTTTAAATAATAAATATCAGAATTACGTAACATTAAACTAACACTCGCTACGCATATATTATCGCAGTGTAATCTTGCCTCAAAACCTTATTCATTATAGAAAGAAAATAATTTTATATTCTTTTGTACACACAACAATTTAACAATTTTTTTTTATAACTGATGCATGGAAAATGTTACCTACCTTCACGACTTGTTGATTGAAAACACCTATTTTACGGCACGCGTATGACAAAGAATTCATGGGCATTAAACCAACTGGGTAAGCTATGGCAATGTAAACAAAACACAGACATGCCGCTCGCATATTGAGAATTGTCTTAAGAGTGAATGCAATAAGTTTCCATCAATTTCACAAAAAAAGTATAACATCAAAAAGTGTACAAAATCTTACACTTTCAAAAAATGTACGCAATTCGTACGAAAATGTTTTTCGCACATTCATTTCTAAATGACTGGACTCGACTTCTAGTGTCGCATCATCCATCAACATATGAATGGCACGCCAAAGACTCACATTCTGTACTATTTACGGAAATAACTACGCACGTAGGTATTTGAAAGTTTTGGGTCAATTGGGTCAAATTTGGTGGGTAGCTAACGGTGTTCCCATGCCTGGCTTAATTCCCACGCTTGGGGGAAAAGAGAGACATGCGGCGAACATTAAGTATTTCTATTCGCCGTAACGAGAAAAATCCGCCTGTCTGAACTTTTTTCCGTCACACAGCTACAGAAACTGAGACCATTTGAAGGAATAGCTACAAATATATTTTTGCTTCGTCCAGGAATTGAATCCGGAATGACACCACTGGAAGTTAATACGAGTCACCCTATAGGATATGTACATAAGTAATTGTTTTAAATCGTTTGGCGCTGAAAGAAAAAGATCCTCAGTCTACTGATTACGATCGCCTGCTAGGAATCCAACCACCATGAAATGTATCTGAGCGCCTGCTTTTTATGCTTGCTTTGATAAAACGTATATTTATTTAACATCAAAAATTGCATTTGACATGCTGTGGAAAAAAATGTATTATGCACGTTTTCTTAATTCTAGGAATTAAGCCACACACAAGTTGAATTCTTAAAACAGAAGGAAATTTTTTCATTGAATATGAATTGATAAGATAATATTAACACTGGTGGAATAAAAAAATATTTAAAGGCAAATTGGCCATAGATTCCCTAATCGGGCCCTTCGTGAAGGAATCGACGTGCAGAACGATAATTGAAATAACTGTATTTGCCTCGGTCAGAGAAAGTCAGAGTCAGAGAAAATGTTTATTTATTTAACGTCGAAACGTGCGTATGACGTGCTGTGGAAAAAGTGTATTTATTCACGTTTTCATAATTCTGCGATTTAAGCCACACACAAGTTGAATTCTTAAAACAGAAAGAAATGAGCGTTTTTCATTGAATATTAATTGATAAGATAATATTCACACTGGTGGAATAAAAGAAATATTTAAAGGCAAATTGGCCATAGAATCCCTAATTGGACCCTCCGTGAAGGAACCGACGTGCAGAACGATAAGTGGAGTAAGTGTATTTCCTAGTCAGCTGTAGAGGGCGTGCGCAGACAGCGAAGCAAACTCACCTTGAGCGTGACGCCGGGCACCGGGAAGACCTGGCTGGGCGGCATGTTGTCGGGCATGAAGCGGTAGAACTCGAACTCGTCCTTGTACCACTTGACGGAGTAGAGGCGCTCGGAGCCCACGTCGAAGTGGCAGCGCAGCGTGGCGTCCTCGCGCACGTCCACCACGGCCGGCACCTCCAGCACGTCCAGCGTCAGCCGCCGGCCCGCGCCGCCCGCGCCGCCTGCGCCAGTCGCCGCGCCCGCCGCGCGCCCTGCGCACACACGCAATCCAATGCATTCAATTTACCCAAATCATTCAATGTGTCATCATTCAATGGGTAATTCATTCAATGTTTCAATTCATATCAATGTGGTTAATTCAAAAATCGTCATCACTAAACTAACACAAATACTAAAATGGAACTTCAGTTCATAAATTGACTCAGTTCTCTAAAATTGACTCAGTACACAATTGGACTCAGTTGCACTAAATGGATCAGTTCACTAAATTGACTTCAGTTCACTCAAATTGACTCAGTTCACTAAATTGACTCAGTTCACTAATTGACTCAGTTCACTAAATTGACTCAGTTTCAATAAATGACTCAGTTCCTAAATTGACTCAGTTCTCTAAATTGACTCAGTTCCTGAAATTGACTCAGTTCACTAAATTGACTCATTTCACTAAATTGATCAGTTCACTAAAATTGACTCAGTTCACTAATGACTCCAGTTCACTAAATTGACTCAGTTCACTAATGATCAGTTCACTAAATTGACTCAGTTCACTAAATTGACTCAGTTCATCTAAATTGACTCAGTTCACATACTAATATTGACTCAGTTCACTAAATTGACTCAGTTCCTCAATTAACTCAGTTCACTCACATAACTCAGTTCACTCAATTAATTCAGTTCACTAAATAACTCAGTACACTAAATTAAATCATTCACTACGTTAACTCAACTCACACGTGAACTCAATCACTACATTAACTCATTCACTTGTTAACTAATTCACTACGTTACTCAGTTCACTACATTAACTCAATTCACTAACTTAACTCAATTCACTACATTAATTCATTCAACTAACCAATCACTACTTGACTCAATTCATTAAATTGACTCAATTACTAAATTTTCAATTAACAAAAATATAACTCAATTCCTTAAATTACTCAATCATTAAAATTATCAATCCTACATTAAATTCATTCATCATTAAATTTACTCAATCATTAAATATATCAATGCCATTAATTTATTCCAATTAATTAATTTTACAATCAACTGTATTCAAATCGATTTATTTACATCGATTTATTTGATTCGATTCAATTTTGTCGATGCGATTTCTTTGATTCAATTTATTCCCCGAATTTGAGCAAGTTTGAAACCACAAACTTGTCTGATACGCTAACCGTTACACCTCCGAAGCCAACGTCACGCATATGAGCGCACTATGCGTACGCCACGGGCTTCGAAACCCAGCTTGAAACAAACTCGGTTTCTGAAATAACGGGTTGACGGTGAAAATTCAGATTTCGCAACGAAAAGGTTCTGAAAAGTATCGCCAAAAGAGTAGAGAAAGTAGAATAGTTTATTTTTGAAACACCATCAGTCAGTTTCTTGCTCTTTTGACGTATTAGTGCACTCACATTCATTGTAAGTATCAGATCTAGTAACAGTCAAGCGATTCTGGAGGGTTTTTGGAACAGAGTCTCTGAAGGCCAGTCACTGTTTCTGATGTACAGCCTCAGACAGAGAATTGTTTGTTAAAACTGAAAAGTTACTTTTCACTGTCTTACGTTGTTTCTGAAATAAACTATTAGTATAACATAGTAATTAAAATTGCGATAGGTTGAGTCACTATGAACAGCGATTGACGGTATTGGTTGTTAAAATAATAAACCTCTGTTCATTGGGCCTGGGTCGAAGCTCTGCGATTTAGAAAAGCATTAATTTTTCGGGGTACTTAACATGAAACCTCTGGGACATTTTCAAAATTTCCTCAAAAACGACTCAAATTTGTTTTTGTTTTTAATTTCTTGTAAGAATAGACTGAAATACACTTATAAAGGAGGCATAGATCCGATTTTCTCTGATAACTGAATTTTGTTTCGGCAACTTCCTACAACTACAAAATTAAAGATGGAGAACAAATTTCATTTGAAGGGAAAAATTCTCTATTATTAGATCTTTCATAAAGGTCATGTACAGTTTTTGCAAAATTTTAGAATTTTTTGAGTAATATTGTTTGCAGTAAGAGAAATTTCAAAAAAAATAACAGTAACGAAATTTTATCGGAAATGAATACACATTTTTTCTTTAAACTTTTATTACCTATAATGCTATATGTATTATATGAGATGAAATACACGCCTTATTGCTCTATTTTGTTTCAATAATCATACAAATCAAATATTTTTGCTTGTCTCTCACAAACAAACATGATGTAGTGAAGTTGGTACGTAATTCAAAACAGTGATGTTCAAAATAAATAAAGGAATACAGAAAACAAATGTCGTTTCAGTTCTTCTAACATATGTATCATCTATTTCGTGAGTTACTGTATCTTCGTCAAGAAAAATAGTTGATTTCCTTTTACTACCATAATAAAGAACATGTCTCTCATTCATCAATTCTCATGAATACCTCTTTCCGTGGAAATCACTTAATTATCTTAGCTTCTCAGACCGGTACCTTTGTGCCACTATTAGCTATCGCAAGGTCCTGCGTGTGCTCATTCCCCATTCTCCTCCAAGCCTGACATCGCGGAGCGAGCGAGCGCTCGCCGTAGCGCAGGAGCCGACGCAGCGCCTGGGGTTCGAATCCCAGGCGGCGCGCGGCGCGGAGTGCGCGCGGGCCGCCTCGCCGATGCGCGCCACGCGGGTACACAAGGTCGCCGCCGCGCGCGCAAACACGCCCGGCCAGTGGGGAGGGGGAAGGGCCGGTCTCCTGGGCGGCGCGAACCAGCGTTCCGGGAACACGGGACGGGGCCGGGCCGGGCTCGCTGCGCGGCGACGCGCCACATTCAATTCTAGCCGGCACGCGGGACGCGGCGGCGCTGCGAGATTCGCGTCTGATGCAGGGCGGTGACGCGGTGAAACACGCGCGACACGAGGAGAGTAGTTTCAACGTTTGACGATTTATGTAATTATTACAAGTCTATACTTCCATGATAGGCAGCACCATCAGGATACCTCAACCTTAGCGACGAGCAAATATCATATATTACATATTCATATTAAATACGGTAAATAAAAGATTGTATGGTATTAAAAACATAAAAGATTTTTGTTTTATTTACAGCTTCTTTTATTTACCGTATTTAATTATTATAAGGCATCTACCTGACCAGCATTCTAATTAATACATACTCATATATTTAGTTTCAATTAATACAGTGTGTATTGAGTAGAAATATTGTACGCTGAGCGGTGACGCGGTGAAACACGTGCATCATGAGGCGCGTAGATGCAACGTTTGACAGTTTCAGTAATTATTGTAAGACTATGCTTCCATTACAGGCAGCGCCATCTCACACCTCAACCTTAGCGACGAGCAATAGTATTTATTACATATTCATATTAAATTTGGTAAATAAAAGATTGTCTGGTATTAAAAACATAAAAGATTTTGTCCTTTTTATACCAGACAACATCTCTTAATTATCGTATTTAATTATAATAAGATATCTACCTCACCACCGATCTAATTAATACACATGCGTATGTTTAATTTCAATTAATACAATGTGTATTAAGTAGAAAATATTGTATATTGTAGTTATTGCAACAGATGTATAATTTTTTGTTCAGTTTAACAAAATGTCTCATCATTAAGTATCAATATTCATAACATTTCTTAATAATTATATCACATTATAAGAGAAATGTTTGAAAAAACTAGCATGCGTAAGGGTATTTTTTATGTCTTGCAGATTTTCTTGATTTAAATCTTTAAATCTTTAGCTATTTTTCAAAACAACCTATTTCCTATTTGTGCTTTGCTTTTAAAAGCTCGAGGTTAATTATGACATCTGAGAAGTGTAATAACTGTAATCATGCCAGATATAAAATAGCGTAATGAAGGAAAATTATGGTAAAAGGGAAAAAAATTGTTTTTGATTTTAAAACAGGATCAAAATTGCACAAAAACTATTAACGAATGCGACGTAAGATAAAATCTGATGCAAAAATCATTTCAAAATCCAACATAATTGTACTACATGTAAACAATGCAATGCAGCGCAAGAAACCTGTCAAGGAAAAACCGCAAACAAATGGCCTCCCGGATAACTGCATATTACGAAAAGAAAAGAAACGACCTTCTCTAATATTACATATTTTCAACGAGATTTTGCGCATTTTTCTTTCTTCCTTAGCGTTCCATTTTCTCTGTTTTATTCAATTCTCATGTCCCTTTTTTGTTTCACCATTTTTTACACACGCACTGAGGCACGTTAGAGGGCGAATTTTGTCGAGAGTCAAATCTTCAAACTAGTCCTACTTTCTCACTGCAGCGTCAAATCCCAACAACAAATTCCTTCAGACCGTTTCACATGATCATTTTTTCATTTTCTGTACAGAAAATGGAGAGAAAAGAGACGTTTCTACACAGTAATCTCTCGAAACTGGATCAACGAATTGAAGCGTTTTACCGCTCGTTTCATGTGTTTTTAGAAAGAATTTGTAGAAAGCATTAAATCCAAATAGATGAACATTGAACGCTAACAAATGAAGGTATGTAACGTTAGGACTAAGTAAGTAAAGAGGATACAGTACATGTTTTACTTCTTACTTCGTAATTACTTGACATTTCAATTCAATATATTAGAACGCTCTCAAAATCGTACAAGAAGGGGGAAAAAATGAAAAAGTTGCAATACAAACTAATGACAGTTCCAAAATGAGACACCAGTAGCGCGGCAGACAAACTGGATGGAATCTGCACCGAAAAATGAAGCATGCATCATTTTTCTGCACAAAATACATCCCGCGCGCACAGTTGAAAAATGATGCAAAATGTTTAAAAACGTCTAAAAGTGTCCTTTTTGCAGTTCAAACGGCACCTGAATTGTGGAAGGTCTGTAAATCATCCCGCCGGCTCTCCGGCGCTATAACAGTTGAGTTCAGAGCGCAAACGAAGAACGCATCGGCTTAGAATATCTGCGCTTGGAAGAGCGCCAACTTCCGCATTTCACCTTGACACAACTCTCAGGAAACAACATGCTACCCGCACGAGAACATTGTACTATTTCAAATTTACACAGTATCATTTGCAGTTGCGTACACCTTTACTGGTCCAAAGCTTTTTGCTTCTCTCAATTTATAGTTAGATTTACGTTCTAAAATTTGACAAATATCTGAATATTATTGAATTAATGAATGTCTACATTGGGAAAAATAAATTTCAGAAAATATTTAAACGTACATTTCGAATTAAAAAAGCGTAGCAACGAAGTAAGCAGCATACTAAACTGTTAATCTGTATGTGCGATAAATTATATAAAAGTGCTAGTAACGGCTACTGAAATTATCCCCCTTTTGTTACGAGAGAAGCTTCGTGACTTTTATGTATTAAATTTTGTAAAAACGCAGCGGTGTTATGTTATTAATATTTACAATACGTGTACAAAATTACCACCCACACAATCTACGCTCTTCGCGGGCGCGTCTGAAGCTACTTCGCTTCTACACAGAACAGCGTCCGTCGCGCGCACCATTCTCGCCCACAAGACATTTCACTGAAGTAGCGCGCACAGTGCTTTTCGAGTGCCCTCAGAAGAAGGAATCCGAACCAGGGTTGAACAACTGGCGGCCTGTTGGCCGCGTGCAACCCTCGGTGCCATTTATTGAGGCCCGCGAATGGTTATTAGCGAAAAGTGGAAGTCCCTTGCAGCCTTGTCGGGACAGCCTTGTGGCAACATTTTACGCCTAGCGCACACGAACTGTCGGGGTCAACAACCCCCTAATTTAAAAATAGGTTACGTTTAGTTTTAAGCTTTTTTTTTCTAGTAAATTCATAAATTGAAAATCACTCCAATATTGTTTCACCGCATGGTACGTCCTTATATCACGCATGGTTTCATTCCATTCCCCGTGTCAGAGCAGTTGGGCAAACTGTCGAGATCAACATTAAGGAGTTACGTGTGGATTGTCCGAGTAATCAAAATATGGCCCGCAACTACATGAAAGGTTTTAGTTGTGGCCCTTAAGGACTTGCAAGTTGGACACCCCTGCAGTTCTGGGATCCAGTGAGGGTGGTGGCCGCACCACAGGCTCGCCTCGACCACACACGGCTCGCTTGGATGGCCTTGGCAAGACCTTCACCAAGCAGTAACAGCATGCCTCTATAGTTTTCTCGAAACGTGATCCCACTATTCTCCTTCGTGTTTCAGTTGCCTCTAAGGTGGACCCGCAAGAAACTGTAATGAAAAGTACTACGAAAAGCCGGAGAACGCCCTACTGCCGACCAAGCAAAATACCCCACGAGCCCGCTGCTTAAACTAGCCATGCTTGGGCCTGCGTCACATGGAAGGTTACACCCAATCGCTCCTCGAGGATGTTCAGTAATGGTCGCAGCTCGTGTCCCAATTCATACGTCCTTGTTTTTAATCACTAGAGAATAATGAAATAGTGTGTTCCGTCCACAACACAAAGCCCTCGCGCAAAGGCGAGAGGTCGCTCCCCCCCCCCGCGGAGATGGCCGCTTCCGCCGGGTGTGCCCGGCGCACATACAGCTACCCACCCGCAACCGCCAGGCTCCCCTGCCCCGGCGGCCACCCATGCTTTCCCGGCAGCCTCCAAATGGCACGTACACTTGTCCCCGGGTCAGACTGGCGAGAATCACCGCGAGAGGCACACATGTCACACCGCCTGCACAGCCCCTTTTCGTTGAGCAGTCTGCGCGCTCACGATCATATTTTCATGTTTTGCGCTTGGCGCACGTAAAAACGCTGCCCGCGGTACATACATCAGTGCGTGAGTGTGCCACTCTGTGGTTGACGAGCACCCACTAAACGGGCTGTCGCCATATGTAATCGTGAATCTGCTATCGGCGAGTACTACAGTGCGGTACGGGGAGACCCTACTCACAAACCGTCAGTCACCTACTGGCGAGAGACCGTGTGTGCCGCAAGCACACTGCTGCTGTCAGGGCCCACCTAGGGCCAGGTCCGTGGTCAAGCTGCGAGACAGACTCTCCCCGTAATCAGCGAACTGTGTGGGACGCCTGCATTCCCGCTTCGCCCGGGAGAGGAGCACCGCTGAGGTCCACGCATGCCGCAGCCACTCAGCATCAGGTATTCGGCAACGCCGTGTGCCCTTGGAAGTGTAGTGAGTGGCTCGACCAACCTTCACGACGTCATCTTCATGGTGATGAGCTCTCATTAATAGACGTAACGTATAATACAGCCATTTTAGTGGCGGAGGCGGTGGAAGTGGCGGCGGCGAAGCATGCAAGATGTTGGTGGAGGCATGAGGACGATCTTGTGGAGGGCAGTGGTTGAGGGAAGAATATAAGACAAGTGAGAGAGTTAGCCCAAGAATTCGAAGGAGAGGGAGTCGTTTAACTCGCATGTACTGATTTTGTTCATAAATCTCTCGAACTATTTTCGTACAATTTATTCCTTTTGGGTTATTGTTAACAGGAGTTTGTATGATATTTTCTATTTTTGCTATTAATTTTTCTATTAATTTAAGTTATGTCATTGCATCAAAACAATATTTCTGTGGGTTCACCAAACCCCTAACTTCGGATACCAAATACTAATTATGAAGTGTTATGTTTTAAGGAGTTCACGCTATCAATTACTTATAATGGAATGTTATGTTATTTACTTGAATGACCTATCGTAGAAAATTATTCTTTCTGTGGGCAGTATTCTATAGGCAGTAATATCACGAATATAACAGCCCATCAAGATCATCCTCCTTCTGTCAAACGCAGATGCTCTATTAGCTCCTCGGAAGCAAAACCAAAAATACAATCATTTGAGTAAACCGAAGCTGCATTATTCTTCATGTCTTCCGGGCTGATGGGCCGTGGTCCAATTGCCTCTGGGATGCCAAACGTTGGTCAGTCGCCAGTCAGCCACCGGCCCGGACACTTCGCCCGAGACCTCGCCACTGAAGATGCCCACCGCAGTCGTGGGCGAAACGTTTGGCATCCCAGAGCCAATTGGACCACCGCCCATCAGCCCGGAAGACATGAAGAATATTGACTCCGGCCGTGAAAGCCTACAACGAAGCTGCATTGTTGTAATTATGTTTGGAATAGGCATTCAAAAATAGTTGTAAAGAATGTAAAATAAAATAAAGCTGATAATTCTCAATAATTTTGGTCTAATGCATTTAAAATATTGATATTAAATGTTTAAAAAAGTTATAGTTTTCCATTTTTGTTAATGATATTACTAAAGATTAAATTGTAAATAAAAAGTAATTAATAAAGTTATAGTTAATCATAATAAGAATAGTCATATGGTAATGGGTTCAACGACTCACGTCCCATTCGGAATCGAAGTTAGCAAAAAAAACGCTCTACAGTGCTATAATTAGTATTTCATGTTTGCTAGCACATCAAATACTTTTGCTATTAAACCCGTGACTGTAGTTCGTGTTTTTGCCGGCAGGTGACGCTGTTCCTCCCACTTCGACGTAGCTATTTAGCTGGTCGTAAAACCCTGTCCCTATTGGAAACTCGATCCCTGTTAAAGACGCTGCAGCTGTAGTGAAATAAAAGCAGAGCAACTTAGCAGGTTACCGCTGCCAGTTATCGAAATCTAAATAAACCAGAAGAATGTTTTGCAAGGTCGACGAGACAAGTAAGAAAGATTCTCAGATCCACGGGATTGTGGTTCATTCAAAAGCATGCATGTTACGTTAGGAACATTAGCAGTAATAACTTGCGTTTAAGCCGTAGTCGTAAGTTGTAAAGTGTAAAAGAAAGACGTCTTGAAATTAAATTTATTTTATTCTTCACTGATACGTTATAGCTTGTTATTGCCTATCATACGGAGCTCCATATACAATGTATATCTTGCCTGGATCGAAAGGATCGAGGTTACGAAGGAAATATGAAAACAGTTGAACGTTGCCGCATATTCTCTTATGGAGGGAATTAAGAGACAAAATTTGTGGAGGGAATTATGAGAGTTGTAATGATCCCGAGGGACAAAAGCCCCCGGGCCAAAGGACTTCCGGCATTTTATTGCCGCATGATCATTAGAACCCTTATAACCCCGTGGTGCATAAAGAACTGCAGCAGTGTAGTGCAGCTCAACAAGACGTAGCAGAAGTGAATAGAGTAAATGAAATAAAATTCAAGTTTAGAATTAGATACAATAGAATACGATAGAATATAATTACATGGTATGAATTAGCTCTAAGTATATTTTTGGGGTGTACATATGTATGTGTGTATATGTGTATGTGTGTGTATATGTGTATACGCACGTGTACATGTGTATATGCATATGCGTTTCATATTATGTGCTAATATGAGACATATGTACGTGCGTTAATGTGTATGTGTGGTGTGTGCGTGCGTGTGTGTGTACGTACTTGTGCGTCGTGCGTGGCGTGTTTGGGTGTGGCACAGAGTCTGAGTTTCACATGTTACGCGTGAAATGAGGCTTCCTTGCTATGCTGGGGTATACACGGTTCTAGGTAATACATTATATTTTCTATTACTTCATTGATCGTTTTTATTGTATTTATTATGAAATATTTAATGTCACTTCATTTTCATTTGCATAATTTAATTAATTGGCTACCACCTGGCAAAGACGCCAATTATGGCCAAAATAAATATATTATTATTATTATTATTATTATTATTATTATTATTATTATATAACTAATCATTTTCTTGTCTAGGAAGTCCATTATTTCGCAAAGAAGCAGCGATCGATAAGGCAGCTGCGTCGCTCTGGCCGTTGAGATGCAGTAGTAGCGGCGAAGGCGGGGATGGCGGAGGCGGCCGCCGAAGCACCGACAGCGTCTGCGGCGGCGATTGTGGCGCGCGGCGCATACACGTGCGCCGCGGGCGCCGCAGCCAGCCCCGTGCGTGGAGAGGGGCGGGGAGGGCGTGCCGCTCGCGTTCCTATTGTTCGCCCCTGCGCAACGGCCGAAGCCGAGCGAGCGCGCGCGGGACGATGTGTGCAATCTCGCGGGCGACGTGTGCCTGCAATGAGGCGAATGCGCCCTGAATGCGCTGGGATCTCTCGCGCGCTCTCTCTCTCTCTCTCTCACTCACTCTCTGCGTGGGTGGAGCCTGCTGAACGGCGCTCGCGTCTCGGCGCTTGACTCGCAGTTCGCCTCTGCTCACCAACGACGCGACAAATTCTTTGTTGGGTTTTCAATAATATCTTCTATTCATCTTATATTCATATCTTATATTCTGATAAACAAGATTGTTCGAAAACCAGATTTTTCGAAAACAATCTCAAAACTGTTAAAACAGCAGCTTGGCTAGTTCCAAATTCCCAAATTATAATGTTGCATTAAGGTCAGTAGGAGCTAAAGCGATACGCAAAAAAGTATTTTGTTTTTCTTATTTATATTTCTAGTTTTATCTCAACATTTGATCATCGTCTTATTTTTTACCACTTCTATTAAATAGTGAACTATTATAGTAATTAACGACATGAGTGGATAAAGAGGGGAATAATTACACGAGTACTGTGTTCAAGGAAACGAACGACGATAGCAACAAGCATTCTAATTTTCTATGAGTGCAATTATTCCCCTTCATCTTCATGATACGTTCAACGTTCTTTCATATCCATTTAAGAATAATTTTAATTTTGATAAATTCAAGCACATATTCACCATTCGAGGCGTACATTTCATGAGATGGTGTTGTTTCTCAAAAAGTGAATTCAATGGGCAATGAATTGTGTACATATGATCCTTATAGTGCCTAAGAAGATAAAAAAATAGTCAAATGGAAGACACTGAACTTATTCCGGATGAAATATTAGAAGAAGCTCACAAATCCTTAAAAACAGTTCTTTCCAGGAAAAGTTAACGTATGTATGTAAGAGAATACATGTATAAATATTGGATAGTAAAAGTAAGCAATTGTGACACAGTTTTGCTGGCGTACATTTTAGAACGGTTAAACACAGCTGGATTATATTTTTTACATTTTTAATGGGACAAAATATTTTTTATTTAAATCATTTAATTTATTCATGTTAAATATATTACGTTATTCCATTAGTCAGGTAGCTTAACGTTCACATCGAAAATTTATTTATTTTAATTTGTTGTTTATAAGTAGTTAATGTCGGTACGTGATCTGTGATGTACATTTTTGATCAGTTTTAATGGCCGGCTGGAAATACCTTGGCCACGCCTATGTCATAGTGTCTTAATTAAACAATTTTGGATCTTTCCTGAATTCTGATTTGCAGTTGGAGTTAATCTCGGAGAATTTTTAATTGCATGAGTGCTATTAACATAGAAATATTCAACAGTTTTTCTTAAAATTAATGAGCATATTTAGTAACCAAAATGAAAAATACGTTTTGTGTGTGCTAGTAATTGGTGTCAAAAATAGAATGTTATGAATGTATGGCGTTAAAAACCTGTTGTTTATTTTTTCGAGAACGATTTCCAATCTCGAGGGCATGTGGTCCGAAGAGTGGGATACCAACCGAGGAGCAGAAACATCAAGTAACTTCCATGGTGCATTCAAAACACCATGGTTTACTAGTATTCTCATTTCTGACCCAAATGAGAATTAAAACATTTTAATATTTGCGTTGCAGCCAAAGTAAAAAGTTGCATTCTAATCGTCAGTCAGAAAAACAAAACGAGAGTGCATGTCTAATTACTATTGCATTTACATTATATAAAAGTATTTGAACTAATTTTTTTCATAAAAAAGAAATAATATTTTGAAGTTCCAACAAAAATTCTCGAAAATGCTAAAAAATGTACGAACAGTGTTGTTCGCAGTAAAATCTCGAAAAATATGAATATGATGCTTTTGAGAAAAAAATGGAAGTGTGTATTGCGTCGATGAAAAATATTATTTTCTCTATTACTGAAATGAAGTAAGATGATTTCATTACATCATATAATTACATTTTCAGAATGTTCTTTCAACATTTATTAAGACTAGTAGTAGTACCACAACTATGCAAAATGCATACATACCGCCTCCTAAGATACATTAATTGCATCTTATGACTGGGCACTAAGCAGGAGGTGGTAATTAAAACCGGTAAAGAAAACTGAATTTGTTTGGTGAATAACTGTTCTTATTTATTAATACCGTATACATTCTTAAATACTATTGGTCTTAAATTCATGAGCGGAATATTCCACGAATTCGACAAATCCTCCTCGTCATAATTTTGAAATGTGAATATTGACACTTGTCGAGATGCAAGGGCAAACAATATGAAGTACTAATTGCATTACTGCAACATTTTTATAGTGCAAATGAGTACTATTTTAAGATATGCACAGGGGATCAGCAGAGACTTCTTCATACACGGGAGTAATGAGGGTTGCCTACATTTACTGGTCACTCGAAATGCTTCGCTAACTTTTGATAGATTCCGGGCACTCTAGGCTACCAGGCTCATTAGACCCGTAAGTGTCGTGCATGTTTTTGCTCGGGATATGGCGGTGATCTTTCCCCCGCTGTATGACGAGATTCGGCGTCGACCTACCGTCTGCTAGCGGTGATTTCTCCAACCAGGTATCTCGCACCAGCGTGTATGGCAGTGTAGTACATGTTAGTGTAAGTGTGTGTAACAGTTGAGGATAGAACAAGGAAGGGGAAGGTGGGATCGCGCTCGGTTCCTAGCCTGTTTGTTAGGGTACTGCTCCGACATTTACCTGGTGTCGATCAGAGAAACCACGGAAAACTACCGTCAGAGCAGCCGGTCTCTAGATTTCCCTTCCAGACAGTGTCTGGACTCGACCTAACTAGCACGTCAGTGTCGACAATCTTGCCACCGTCGGAACTCGAACCTAAGACTTCCCGGTCAGAGGGACTGCAGTGACATCAATTAATGTCCTTAGCCATCTTTCCCGGTGTAAAGTTTTAGAAAAATGTATTTATGCTTTATTAGTTCATTACTATGTGTTTATGGACAAGAATCAAAACACCTAATAGTATACTAAATACTTTTGCTCACCTCTCGGATTCTTTATGCAAGCTTTACGCTTTTGAATATTTTTACACTCGCTCTGCTTCCAACACAACAAATAGCACGTTTTTATGATTCCGTTTCATTGAAGTTAAGAAAAAGAAAAATAAAGTAAATAGATGACATTATAAATATAACTCGTTACAAACATAATTTTGTTGAAATGATATAAAATTTCAATTCCAAAATATTTCTGTGAATTTATAATTCACCTCACTCACTCTTATTTCACTCTTAGGTGTCACTTCTTTTTAGAGAAACATACTTTTAGAATAGCAGCACTACTAGTAGTTCCTATTTCTTTCAAAATACAAAATGGTGTAAAGAAAATGTTTTAAGA